CCGGGGTCCTGTGCCCATGCCCCTGCACTAGGAGCAGAGCAAATCGCTCGGCCTGGCTGTCCCTCCGTTTGCCCCGCCTGTCAAATGTGGACGGGGATCGCGCTCCCTTCCCGGGTGGAGGGGGGAGTATACTGCAGACGCTGCGCTTTATAGTCCCTCTGCTCCCGCATGGGAAGTCTGGTCCGTGGCAGCGCCCAGCAACGCCCCCCGGGCTGGAACAGCAAAGGGGAGGGCAGGAAACACCAGCCCGGTCAACACACTTGTCTGTAAACACCCTCCCGCCACGTTCGCTTTGATGTTCAAGTTCCTGGACCGTTTGCCCCGATTCCCCGCCTGCAGCCTTAACTGACAGGAAACACCTTCCCGGAGCTTCCTGGTGCACCAGCAGTCCTAGCTCCACATGGGGCACTCCGCAGCCAGAGCACCCGCCGGGCCCACGTGCTGGGGGGCAGGTAATGTGCCCTTGCCCCAGAGGGGTCTCCGGGCAGATGTTGCTTGCTGGGAGAATACAACGAGCCCGAACCTCTCTCACTGACTCCGACGCTTAACGGTTCCCTCTTTCCTCCGCAGCTCGACTGGAACGAATCCAGCCCTGCCCGCGGGCTGGCCCCGTTTGCCCCTAACCAGAACTCCCTGGTCCTCGTCGACAGTAAGTCCCACATGTTTGTGTCTCCCCTTCGGCCCATAGTGCTGCGGGGCCAGGCCCCAGCCAGCGGGACGCTGACGCCGGCGGAGCTGTGCCGATTGACGCCAGCTGTGTCTGCCTTGTGTCTGCGCTCGGGCTCCTTGGCGGGGAACGGCGCCCTCTCCACGCTGCGCCGTCACTGGGCTGGACAGCTCTCCGAGCTGGGGGGACACTCGTGGTGAAGGGAGCCTGGAGGGGGCACTGCCCCCCGACCAGGGCAGGCTGATGTCCCTGGGTAGGGTCAGCCCCAGGAATTCTAGCGCCAGAGCAGCTGAGGAAGCCTAGTGGGAGAGGGAGCTTGAGCCTGTCCCCAGAGCCGTGTGAGAAGGCAGCCTGGGACCGCCCTGGGAGGGCCGGCCAGAGTCCATGGTGATGGGCAGTGACACCACAACCCCTCCCCTGTCACGTCCGCCCAGTGCCCAAGCTGCTGGACTGGCAATGCCCACGCCTCATCCGCTTGCCCAGAGAAGAGCGGCTGGTGGGTTCCCTCGCCCTTTGGCAGGGGGCCACCCCACCCTCCTCACCCGGGCAGATGGACAGAGGCTCAGGCCTTGAGCTTGGCTTTCAGGCTCCAGGTTTCAGTCGGCCTCCTCTGGGGCCCTTGGCTTTCTCTCCTCCCCACAATTGCCCCTCAGCACTGAGCCTTCTGCCGTTCTCCCCGGAAGCCCTCCCCGTCTGGTCTGTCCCTGGGGAACCAGAGCTGCTCCCATGCTGAATTGTCTCCGTCCTTAGCTGAGGGGTTGCGTCTGGTCCCCACTGCCGGCAGGGCCCCAGCGTGAGGGGGCCTCGGCGAAGGAGCCCTTGGCTTTCTCTCCTCCCCACAATTGCCCCTCAGCACTGAGCCTTCTGCCGTTCTCCCCGGAAGCCCTCCCCGTCTGGTCTGTCCCTGGGGAACCAGAGCTGCTCCCATGCTGAATTGTCTCCGTCCTTAGCTGAGGGGTTGCGTCTGGTCCCCACTGCCGGCAGGGCCCCAGCGTGAGGGGGCCTCGGCGAAGGAGCTTTTTGTTAGAGCAGGGCCGAGCTGGCACTACCATACCCGGCCCCCCCCCCCGTGGCTCCTGAGGGCCCTCTGCCTCCAGGGTCACTGACCCAACTCCTCAGGCCTGGGCCGGGTCCCTGGAGAAAAGCCGTCCCCAGACAAAGCTGAAAGCCTGTCCCCTCTTGCAGGCCCCGACATCTACTCCACCATCAACTTGCACCTGCACAACGGGAAGATCCCCCGCTTCCGCCAGGTCCGAGGGCCGAAGGGGCTCTACACCAGCGACACAGTCATGCAGAGTGAGTACGGCAGAGCCCCTGGCCTGGGCTCCCGTCCGAATCCCGGCAGTGCCGAGACCATGGGATGCAAACGTGCCTCCAGCAGCCAGGGGAGCCGACAGCCGGGCGGGGGCCCCGGGCCGAACCCCGGCAGTGCCGAGACCATGGGATGCAAATGTGCCTCCAGCAGCCAGGGGAGCCGACAGCCACCCTGGGAAAGGTGGGGGGCGGTCCCTTCAGGCGCAAGGGGTGGGGCCTCAGGCGGAAGGGCAGGGCTTCAGGCAGAAGAAGTGAGGTCTTGAGTGGAAGGGGTGGGGTCTCAAGCAGAAGGGTGGGGCTTCGGGCAGAAGAACCGGGGCCTCTGGCGGAAAGGGCGGGTCTCTGGCGAAAGGGGCGGGGCCTCTGGGGGAGGGGCGTGGCCTTGAGTGGAAGGGGCAGGGTCTGGGCCAGACGCGAGCGCAGAGGAAATCAAAGCAGGGCCCGGCCTGCCCTTTGCAGCACCGATCAATAACCAACTTCCTCCTGTTCTCTGGAGCGAGAAGCCCCTTCCCCTTCCCCGGGCCTTGGGCCCCCGCTATCACTAGGGGACAGGGAAACAGCAGCTCCCAAGACCTCTGCCTCAGCTTCCTGGCCTTGCCCTGGAGCTGGCCCTGTGGGGAGGGGGCCAATGGCCGCAGGGCCCGGCCTGCCCTTTGCAGCACCGATCAATAACCAACTTCCTCCTGTTCTCTGGAGCGAGAAGCCCCTTCCCCTTCCCCGGGCCTTGGGCCCCCGCTATCACTAGGGGACAGGGAAACAGCAGCTCCCAAGACCTCTGCCTCAGCTTCCTGGCCTTGCCCTGGAGCTGGCCCTGTGGGGAGGGGGCCAATGGCCAATCAAGGGCCTAGAGCAGTGGCTGCAGAGGGGCGGGGGCCCCCCTGGGAGGTGGGGCGAGGGCAGCAGGAAGGAGCTGGTGCTCCCAGCTGGAAGGAAACGCCGCTGTGGAACAGGCCCGCCAGCTGCAGTCACTGTCTGTGGGTGGCAAACAGAGCAGAGAGCGTCCGTTTCCCAGCTGGCCACACATGGGAACCTGGAGGAGCCCAAAGGTTGCTCCGCCTCCTACCCTTCCAGCCCGGGCCGGGTACCGAATCCAAACCTGGAACACATCTGCCTCCCCACTCCCCACTTCTCCACCCCGGCTGGTGGACTGGCAAAGGGAAGAACCCTTCAGCCCTGACTCCTCTGAGCAAGACCCGGAGCAAACCCAGTTTGGGGGCAACTGGATTTTCTCCCCCTCACCGCTGCGGGCCAAAATGTGGAGCAAGTCAAGTGCCAACTCGGAGCCAGGAGCAGGCCACAAAGCAGGAGCTCCCGGCGCATCACGGCGTCAGGCTGTTCCACGCCCCGGGGACGTGAAGTAATGAGCCTCCAAGCGCCATCCTGACCCGGTAGTCCCTGCAGCTGACGTCATGGAGCCAGCCACTTTAATAGGGCTCTCGCATCATTCCCTGCCTGACAGGCTTCCCCTGCTACACACAAACAACCGCAACACCCGCTCTCCCGCTAGGCCTCCCTTCCCTGCCGCAGCAGCTCCCCGACGCACATGCTCCTCTCCAGGGAAGGGGTTCCCCAATCAGCTGAGGCTCTAGACTGACCGGGCGCCTGGGCATGTCAAGGAAGCTGCACAAGGCAAGATCCAGAGCCTACAACCAGGGTGTTGGAGCTGGGAGGGGGAGAGTCACCCATGAAAGTGTGTTGGGGTGGTCTGCCTCTGTGACTGATCACTAGAGGACCCGGCTGGTTTCGGCTCCCTGGCGATGGCTGTCCCACACGTCCTTGGGTTAGGGCTTGTCAGGCCTTTTCTCACAGCTCTTCCTCCTGCCTTCCAGACCCGCAGTTTGTGAAAGCCACTGTCATCAAGCAGGATGAGAGCTACAATGAAAAGATCTACTATTTCTTTCGCGAAGATAACCCGGACAAGAGTCTCGAGGCTCCAGCGAATGTCTCCCGCGTGGCCCAGCTGTGCAAGGTACAGAGCGGGCAGGGTGGGACAGGCAGGGGGCGGTAGAGAGCGGTGGTGCTGGAAGGGAACAAGCTGAGAGGAAGGAGGGTCCGGTGGTCCAGGGTGCAGACCTACGACTAGGACGTGGCTCTGCCACAGACTTCCTGGGTGACCTTTGGCAAATCCCTTAGTTGCTTTGTTCCCCCTCTGCACAATGGGGATAACAGCTGTGCCCTACCCGTGGGATGCGCTGCATTAAAGAGGAGGAGTGCTCAGATGCTGTGGAGAGGTGGGCCATGCAAGTACATGGATAGATAATGGGGAGCCGTTTAAGGGGTTGGGAACGTGCCAGAGGCCCCTTCCTTCATCCCCCTCCTCTAGGATGGGCTCTGAGGTGCTTCTGTGTCTTCCAGGGAGATAAAGGGGGCCAGGGCTCCCTCTCGGCTTCCAAGTGGACCACCTTCCTGAAGGCCATGCTGGTCTGCATCGACCCAGCCACCAAGGGCAACTTTGACTGGCTGCAGGACGTCTTCATTGTCCCGTCAGAGAAGGGCTGGAAGGAAACCAGAGCGTACGGGCTCTTCTCCAACTCCTGGTGAGGATCGTGGCCCACGTGGGCCACCAGCCCAGCGCTGGGGACGGGCGTGAAAAGGACGGGCCAGCTCATCCCACGAGGCATAACAGGGCAGTCGACAAAGGCTTTTGATGTCAACCGCCAGACTACTGCGCTGAGCCGACACACAGCTGATCGGCACAGTGCGGCGGCCATTTTGATGTAAATGAAGCGGCGATTATTTAAATTGCCGCTTCATTTTCCTATGTCTACTGAGCTCATCTACATAGCTCTGTCGACGGAGCCATGTAGTGTAGGGCCTCAGCGTCGCCACTAAGCACAGCCCTGGCGACCGGGCTGTTAATGCAGGGGGAGTTTTGCCCGAGTCACCGTTTCAGGTTTAGGATGGCGGCTGCCACTTTGAA